GAGGGGGACAGGGCTCCTGCCCCGGCTGTCGGGCCTCCTGCAGCAGTGGCTGCTGACTTACAGGCCCGGGAGCCTCTGCTGGCCCTGCACCCATGGCCCTCTTGTGACCCGGGGAGCACCCAGTGGTATTGCTCCTGTGACCATGAAATGTCACCTTACATTTATTTTCAGGATGCTACAGTTTAAAGACATTTTTATATCTGACTTGTTATTTGGTGGAATAAAAGAAACTCCGTTTGCAAAGGCTGTGAACCTGCCCGTTACATGGAGCTTGTCCCTGCCCCTCAGCTGGTGTCTGTCCCTTGTCACAAGCCACCCACAGTCCCCAAGATGCCACCTCTCTCAGCACCTGACCACCCTCTCCTGACAAGACCCTGGGGGACCGCCTTGGGACTCAAGGCTTGTCGGCCGCCCACCCGCTGGTCACAGTGGGGATGGCTCACTGCGGGCTCTGGGGGGCCCTACCCAGGTACTGGCACATCAGTCTCTGCTCGGGGGCGTCCGTGTTCTCCATGCAGAAGAACAGGTAGTCCTTGTAGTCCGTGTCGAGCACGAAGATCTTGTTCTCCTCCAGATCTGGGAGAGAAACCAGGATGGGGGACTCTGGGGTCCTCCACGGCCACCCCTAGCAAGGCCCGGGTGAAGGGCTTCTCTGTCACCCCCACATGGCACAGGGAGCTGAGAGGCCCTGACTGTCAACTGTGGATCCCGCCAGAGATGCTGGGCCACCTCCAAGACAGGGCTCACTCATCATTCAATCCCGGATGCCCCCCACGCCCCTGTCCTGGGACCCAAAGTGGTTCAGAAGTGGGTTTTCACGCTGATCTTGAGGGAGGGGGCACCTCGGAGGGGAAGAGGGCTCTCCGGGAACAGGGTCAGTTTGAGGGGGCGGAGCTGTGTCACCATGGTGATGAAGGGCACGCGGGGGCATGTGCTGCCCGAGGCCCAGGGGTCCTGGGGGCTGCCAGGGGCACAGCATCTCAGGAAGTGCTGGCGTCCCAGCCCCCTTGCAGCAGAAGGTGCTGGAGCCCCTGCGGCTGACACAGGAAGCTTCCTCTGGTCAAGCCAGGCTTGAGGGCTGGTCCAGGACAGGCAAAGCGGGATGCCGCCCAGGCTGCCCGGTGTGGGGACAGCCCTGGGGGAAGCTGCCCCTGCCCCGGGCCTTCTCATCTTGGCTTTAGTGAGGAATGCGGGCATGAGCACAGGAGGGAATGATCCCAGGGAGGAACCCAGGGGCCAGGCTGGGGCATCATGGGGCGCCCTGACCATCGGGGACCCGGAGGTGTCTCACTTGGTGCAGGTGGCCTGGGAGGGCACGGAGGACGGTGGACACAGATGCTCCCCGAGGCCCCGCCCACAGACGGGGAGCTTGGTCTCATGGCTTCCAGGGTCAGAGCAGCCCAGCAGGGACCTGCCCCAGGCCCCAGGCCCACAGCACCCAAGGTGGAGGGGGGGCAGTGAGACCTGGCACTGTGAGGCACCCTGAGGCTGGAGCGCAGGCCCCCTGCCCTGCCTGTGAGCCAGCGGGGTGGGGGTCCAGCGTGGCCTGGGAGCCTGGCACTCACAGTTGATCTTGAACTCAGCAGGGACCTTGGTTTTTTCTGCCACGATCTTCTGCTCAGGACACCTGCCGTCCTCCCTGAAAGAAGGCTCTCTGTGGGCTGGCTGCACAAGCCTTACTGTGATAGAGCCAAACCACAGCTGGGGAGCGGAAGCCGGGCTCCAGGAGGGTTCCGGGCTGGAGGCCTGGGCCTGGGCTGCATGCACGGTAACCTCTAGAGCCGGCAGGTGCCCGGGGAGGGGGGGGACAGGGCCTCCAGAGGGCAGATGGAACCAGAGGGAAAATGGGCTGGGAGTGCCCTTGAGCCCACAATCAGGGGTGATGATCTGCCTTCAGCTGGTAATCGTGGGGTTTGGGTCCTTCTTTCTCCCCGCCACACTCACCCAGCTCTCTCCTATACCCTCACTGCCACTCTAGGGGCAGACAGGGCTCACGGCAGGACCTGCCCAGGCCCCCGGGACCCCAGCCCCACAGCTGACCAGCCGGCCTCCACACGGGCCTCTCGGCGCACTGACCTGGGACCGCCGTGTGTGGTCGGCCTGTTGGCCCAGAGCTCGGGACGGGGGCTCCGAGGCACCGGGAACCACCCACAGGGCGCCGGCTCCCATCAGGACCCTGCCCTGCCCACCCACCTGCCCGCCCACCTGCCTGCCCACCTGCCCGTCCAGGAGCCAGGCCGTCGCTGGCCCCCAACCCCGGGGCAGAGGGCACACCTACCATTTGCGCAGAACAATCTCCAGGTTGCCCTCGGGGGTGGGTCTCAGCTCCTGGACGTACACTCTCAGGGTGGTGGTCTCAGCGTCCAGGAGGGAGATGTCACTGGCCGCCAAGGCCAAAGAGTGCCACGTCCCAGCCACCTGCGGAGGGGGCCTTGAGCTGCCATCGGGGGCGGGAAGGGCCCCGGCCCACAGGGGGCTCACTCTCCCACCCCGGCCGGGGGCCCAGTCTAACTGGGGTGGCCGTCAGTGAGCTCTGGACGACCCTCGGCCATCGACCAGACACTGGGCTGCACAATTTCCACACTTGAATTAACACACCTGTGTTCCCCAGGTGGGTCTGAATACACATCATACGAGTTCCCTAGAACCTTCTGGATCTTGGGAAACCAAGTGACAAGCCGCCCTGAAGACGGAGAGCCGGGTGGGGGTTTCCCGACGTCGTGGGTTCTGCTCGTGTACCCTGCCCGTGTACCCTGCTGCGGCCCCGCTGCCCTGCCCACCCTGCAGCTCACCCCCACCCCAGCCATCCTCCCACCTTCTGGAGGTCCAGGTTCTCCATGGTCTGGGGGACGACGATGGCCTGGATGCCACACACGAGGGCCAGGCCCAGGGCGAGCAGGAGGCACTTCATGGCTGCGGCCGTGGTTGCGCTGAGCTCCCGGGAGTGAGGAAGGCCAGGCAGCGGGCTCGGGCCCTTATATGGGGGCGGGGGGCCTCGCAAGCCAGCTCCGTCTGGGCCCCCTGCCACGCGGTTCCCCGAATCCCCCGTGGCTCATCCCCAGACCCTCAGGGGGCTTCCCCCACCAGGACAATAGGAGGCCTTCTTCCTCTAAGTGGGAACAGGAAGGTCCCTGTGTCCCTGGGGCCTGGACAGTTCCTGGCAGGCCCCAGAGGGGAGGCTCCGGGGCCGGGTGGGTGCGGGCTGGCCGCCGGCGTCAGGAGCATTTCCTGGGTCATGATCTTGGGCAACCACAGGTCAGAGTCAGCATGAGGACAGCTGTGTCCTTGAGGGTGGGAGAGCCCCATGCCAGCCCCAGGGTCTGTGGACGACGTGTCCGTGGGTGGCCATCTGTCCTGCACAGGGGGCAGACATCACCTACACGTTTACCCCTCTCCTTCCTGCAGGCACCACCCACCCAGGGGCCGCCCACCGTGCCCGGCCTGCCTGAAACGCTGCAGTCCTTCCTGGTCTTTCCCGTTTTACTCTCCGCCTCGGGCATCAGCTCCTCCTCGGTCACCCCACCCACTCACTGCAGGAAGGGGGCGGGTGGAGTGGCTTCGGGTGGCGCCAAGGATGGGCCTGGCCGGCGGCGAGCCCTCTGCAAGCTTGGGCTGCTGAGTAACAGTAACGAGCGGGCGCCAACAGGACAGTGGTGGCTGTGGTCATGGGCAGGGTCACCCAGACCACGGCAGGTCCCCTCGGGGCACGGTGCATGGGGGGGGCAGCACAGGCAGTGTCCATGAGGCTACGTGTGATGGTAAAGGCCACCATGTTGGAGTCCCGAATCTGCTGGATCCCACGTTTTAAATCCTCTGACGCACTCCCTTGTGCGAGCTGTCACCGGTGACTCGAGAGCTACAGGGGTGTCCCCGACAGAAGAATGTGTCCTGCTGACCCATGTTGGCCAGCCAGCCCCCACAGGGGGACGTGGGAGCCCCGTGCCCCGAGCGAAGCCTGACATTCCAGACAGTTAACCTGCTCCTCGCTGGGGAGGCGGACATCGGGGTGGAGGATGGAGCAAGGAGGGGGGCAGCCGCCTCCAGCGTGACCTACAGAGGGGCAGCCTCATTCTCCCGATGGGGGGGGTCTTGGGGGGTGTCCCCAGGCCCAGATGTGTTGGGCCTTTCCGGGCGGCCTTGCTACCCACGTGTCATGGTCAGCATCTTGGATGGAGGCTAGGGGTTCTACACTAGCTCTGGATTCATCCCTGAGCCGGGAGGGAGCCCACCCACCAGCCAGATGGTGGTCCTGGGCCACTGGGCTCCCGTCCTGGGGGCGGGGCGGGGAAAGGAGGGGCTTGGGTGGCCACTCCGGCATGGCCCTCCCGTGGCAGCGGCGTGCAGAGCCCGAACCCCGCGGCCCCCGCGTCTCACAGGGCAGGTGGTGGGTCTCAGAGAGGGCACCGCTCCTCCTCAGGGAGGCTCTGCACCCGGGAGGGTGGGATGTGGACCACGGTTGTAGGTCTGCTGAAACTTTGTGGGGGTTGAAGCAAAGTGGGAGGAGTGGACCTTCTTGCCTCTCTCTGGCGGCAGGTCTGAAGTGACCCGAGTGAGGCGGGTGTCCAGCGGGCTCTGCGGGGCGTGCCCTGTGCACAGCGGCCCCTCCGGCCCTCCCCACGCCCGCCTGCAGTCCCGGGACAGCTCACCGCGGTCAGCGCTTTCACGTCTCACGGTGAGCGGCTGGCCGCACACTGGGTTGGATGGCGTCCCCCCAAACCCATGTCCCCCCAGAACCTCTGAATGTGACCTTATTTGGAAACAGTGGCCTTGTGGTGCTGTGATTCGTTCGGATGAGGCACACGGGAGCAGGGGCTCATGTCTAATGTCCTTTTAAGAGAAAAAGGGCGCAGAGGGGACCCAGGGAGGAGGCCGCATGATGACAGAGCCAGAATTTGGAGGAATGCCCCTGGGATCGCCGCAGCTCCAGAAGCTGGAAAGGCCCGGACCCTCTGCGGGGCCTTCGGAAGGAACACAGCCCTGTCCACACCTTGACTGTGGGCTCAGGCCTCAGAACTGGGGGAGAATAAGCTTCTGTCGATAGAAGCCCCCGCCAGTGGGCCCGGCCCCAGCGGCTTTGGCAGGTGTCCACGGTGCCCCAGCTGTGAGACAGGAGACCGTGCTCCTAAACCCCGCTTGGCTTCCAGAGCAGGGTCACGCAGCGCAGCGGGCGGGGTGGTCAGCCAGGGAAAAGCAAATGTCCCGTTTTCTGGTAAGCTTGGGAAGCGCGGGTCCCACCAGCCGCGGGGGCATCTGCCCGGCTCGGGTCTCAGAGACGCTGTCGTCTTCCTGCCCGCGATGACCCGGAGCATCTTGTGCAGGATGTGCCCGTTCATCATTTCCAGGAACAGAGCTCCACAGAATTCTGCTGCAGAGACACGAAAGAGTAAGAAGCCGTGCCTGGCCTCCGGCGGTTGGCGTTGTCTGGAGTCGGGGAGACGGAGGCCCCGGGGGTCCCACTTTCCCAGGTCGCTGCCCCAGCGAGTGGGGCCTGGGAGGAGACTGGGCCCCTGCAGGCCCTTCCCCTCCTGCCAGGACCCCCTGTGCTTTGGAAGTGGGCCGGGAGGGCAGGCCTGTCAATGCAGGAGCTGGGAGTTACTTCTCTTAGGCTGAACTCCTGGGGCCGGGGAGGGCCATGGGCTTTTATTCCGCGGAGAGCACAGCATACATGCCCTGCCCTGTCTCCCCGGGGCCCCCTCCCTGCAGCAGGGCGTCAGCAGGACCTCATGAGAGCGAGTCTGTGTTTTGCTGGGCAGGACCGTGGTGGCCGGCACCAGGTGCCCCCAAGCATGCACAATCATGGGTTACTTTTCTCCTGGAAAGAACACCCTTCCCAGGTGGGGGCTCCCTCCCTGCATGAATCCTTAACAAACCTGGCGGACCCAGTGTCCCGGTGCCCCCAGAGCAGTGGGCACTCGATGTGTTTTCACTCATTGTCACTACTCACATCACTATCATAGCACATGCAATATAATGCACCCAAATAGTCCCCGGTGTGTCACCAAACAGTGTCTCTTTGTTTTAATAGATTTTTAATGTATTCATTTGAGAGAGAGAGAGAGCACGAGCAGGGGGGAGTGGGAGAGGGAGAAGCAGGCTCCCCACTGAGCAGGGAGCCCGATGCGGGGCTCGATCCCAGGAGCCCCGGATCATGACCTGAGCCAAAGGCAGATACTCAACGACTGAGCCACCCAGGCGTCCCCACAAAGCGTCTCCTAAAAGCCAAATTACTGCTGGTGTGGAAGGCGGTACGGCAGTTCCTCAGAAAAGTAAAGAGAATTACCAGATGATCCCACAACTCCAGTCTGTACCCCAACGATCTGAAAGCAGATCTTGAAGAGGTATTTGCACACCCGTGCTCACGGCAGCGCTCCTCACAAAGGCCAGAGGATGGAAGCAGCCCAAGCGTCTACTGACAGGTGAATGGATAAGCAAGACATGGTCCGTCCACACCGTGGAACATTATTCGGCCTTAAAAAGAAAGGAATCGCGACACCTGCTACTACGTGGACGAAGCTGGAGGACGTGGTACTGAGTGAGATCAGCCTGGCACAGAAGGACCAATCCTGAACGATCCACTTATGTGAGGGACCCAGAGGAGTCAAGTTCATGGGGACAGTAGGATGCCAGGGGCAGGGGGAGGAGAGACATTGCTTAATGGTGACTGAGGCTCAGTCTGGGAAGATGACCACACTCCGGGGACGGATGGAGGGGACGGCTGCACAACAGTGAATGCACGGACGCCCCCGGACTGTGCCCATAAAAATGCTAAGGTGCTGTAATTCATCTTATGTATATTTTGAAATAATTTTAAAAAAGTCTAAAAGTCTCCATCTTGAGAGGGGCTCACTCTGTTTCCTCCGAGGGCACCTGAGCCCCCTGCTCTTCCGCAGAAAGGCCAGTGTGGACTGCCCTGCAACCTCCAACTAGAACCTTCTTGTGCCAAATAATCTTGGGGTTTGCACCAAAGCTTGGTGCTCACTGTTGGTGAAGCCTGGTTCTGAAATGAGCCCAGTGTCAGGCCTGGTCTCCCATGGAAGGGGAGTGCGTCTGGAGGCGGCTTCCCATTGGAGGGGCCCCCGTGGATCTTTTCGGCGGCGGCCGGCACTGGGTAACCTGGCGTCATGGGAGGGACTCTGCTTTGATGCAGGCAAGGAATGAGCCGCCGTGGCCTGCCTTCTGCTGCCCGGCCAGCATCAGGAAACACCAAGCTGCCGTCACCTTCTCTAGAGTCGGGGGACCCTCGATAACCTGCCACTGTCCGATCCCAGGGCCCTAGACCAGACGGCCTTCCTCGTCCTCCTGCCAGGGTGGTGGTATTTCAGGCCTTGTAATTGTGGGGCAGCAGGGAGGAGCGTGGAGGTGGCTTTGCTGACTTTCAACTAACAACAGCGGTGGAGGAGGGGCCCGGCGGGAAGCGTGGCTGTCAGCACGCCTCGGGCTGGCCCTGAAGTGGGGGCCCAAGGCCCTGGTGGGCAGCGGGTGGTGGTGGCCGCGGTGGGCCCACAGCTGGCGGAGCCCGAGCTCTGTGTGTGTGCGGACAGACGCGGCCGTCTTCTCCCACTGCCGCCAGCCACTCCCTGTCTTCTCCACGGTGGTGACGGGGCCCGCCCCGGCATCCCCAGCAGGCTGGCCTGCAGCCCGCGCTCCTGGCCACAGCAGCCACACCTCACTGGCCCGTGGGCCGCGTGGCCCTCTAGAGGACCACTAACGAGTGCGGAGCTCGGGCTCTGGGCCAGACGCCCCGCACTTCCTACCGGCCTGTGGTCAGATCCCATCACTGGTGTCTCCGGGGCTGGGACCCGGGTGTGTTCCCTCCAGAGGAGGTTTTGTGTCAGGTTTAGAGCTGGGGCTGGAGCCGCAGGGCCTGGGGGGCTGCGTGCACCTGGGGCTGGCAGCTGCCCGGCCGCCCTCCCTCAGTGTGGACAGAGGGAGGCTGTCCTCCAGGGGCTGGGTGAGGGTGGAAGGAAGGCCCTCACATCCAACAGTCACGTCGGGAGTGCAAATGTCGGGACGTTTTCCCACTTCTCTCTTGGGGGGAGCAGGTCACCTCTGTAGCGGCTCCCCTGCTGGGGGCCCGGAGCCCTAACAGGACGGGGCGGGGGGACCTGCGATGCTGCTGTCTCTGCACCTGTCCGTCCACAGCGCGGGCTGTGTCCCCTCCCTGCCCTGGGGCTCCAACACCCCCCACCTCCAGGAGGGCAGGAGGGCAGGAGGTACCAGGAAGACCCCTGAGACATTTCTTTGTCAAGAAATGGAACTGAAAACTTAGGATTCTCCAGGTGTAGCACCCTGTCAGCACGTAGGGCTTCCGTGTCCCGGGACGAGGAAGATGCCACACGCACTAACGATTTCACACTCCTTACGCCGGGGTGGGGACCATGAGGGGTCCTACGGGGACCCATGCTGACACCCACGCCCATCCCCCACCCGCGCCTCACCCCTCGAGCCGCGCATCCCGCACGCATCGACCAAGAAAGACCCAGACGGACTGCTGGCTGGTTGAGTTCTTTATTGCTGGAGGAGGAGTGGCTCAGAGCAGGGCACCCCAGGCTGGCGCCCCGAGGACCCCGTCCCCTGGAGGAGCGGGTCCCACAGGACCTGGGGCCTGGTCCCTCCTGATTCCTCTGGTGGGGGAGGGAGGGGGCGATGTCGTCTCTGGGACCTGAAACGGACCAGGGCTTCCCTGTGATTCCTGGGGAGCCTGTTGGGCCCTCGCCAGCCCCTCCCAGGTGGGGGGTGAGGGACGGCCTCTCCACCTCAGGCTGAGTGGTGGTCAGCCCACACCAGCCCCCCACGCTTGCCCACACCCTTGCCCAGAAGAGGCCATGGGGACATCTGCGTGGGAGCTTGACCGGGACACAAGGAGGACATCCCAGAAAGGCCACTGGAGAGAGTGGGCCTGTGGCCAGCCTGGCCCCCGTGGTCACCAGGAGGGACACCAGGTCCCAGCCATCCCTGCAGAGGGACCAGGGCCCGACGGAGGGGAGCTGGGGGTCCCCTGGGACGCCGTGCACGTGCCCAGGACGTGGGGGCAGGGCTGGTACGTTACCCCAGGAGGCGGGTCAGGCAGGAGCTCACCTAGACGCGGCACTGCTCTGTGGGGGGAGGGAGAGCCGTGAGGGGGGTCACAAGTCGCCAGGACAGCCCTGGGCCCAGAGGGGCGTGGCAGAGGGGGTGGGGCTGGAGACCCCGCCTCAGGGGCTCTGCACCTCCCACCCCCCCAAGCTGGGGGGTCTGGGGAATGGGGGCCACCAGTGAAGGAAGATGCTGTCCTGATGTCTCTAGAACCCTGACTGGGAGCCAGAGCTGGGACAGCAACGTGGGGGAGGGGCCGCTGCGGGCTAGGGCTCACCCTTGCCCTGGGTCAGACCCGGGATGATCTGCAGGTGCACGGGCAGAGTCTCGAGGGCTCTGTTGAATTTCTCCGTGACCTCGTTGTCAACCTTCAGGGTCCTGCCTGTGGAGGGCAGTGGGTCAGTCCCTGGGCCACGGGGCTTTGACGACCTCAGGGAGACCCAGGGGCCCCGCCCAGGGAGCGAGTGCAGGAAGGACACATCAGCGTCCTGAGGTCAGCTCCCAGGGTGGCTTCCGGGGCTCAGCCCACCTGCCTGCAGGGTCCCTGTCCCCTCCCCTTCCTCCCAGGAGAGCGCTGGGAGGAGAGGGCTCCACTCGTAGACAAATCCCCCATCTTCTGCCTCAGCCCCCACTCGGCCTGTTCCTCGTCCCCGAGTCCCCACACCGGCTCACAACCGATCACCTTTGCTAACATGAGCCACGGGGGCTGGGAGGCAACCCCTCCCCCTCCCGTCCCCAGGGCCCAGGGTGAGCGCCCCTGCAGGACTCCGTTACGCACCCAGGTACTGGCACATCATGCCGCTCTCAGCGGTGGGCACGGGGGCCTCCATGCAGAAGAACAGGTAGTGGGTGTAGTCTGTGTCCAGCACGGAAATCTTTCTTTGCCCTTGGTCTGGAAAAGAGGCCGAAACAGAGGCCTGAAATCTGTCTTGGTGCCCCTCCAACCTCCCTCATGTCTCAGGCCACTTCCCTGACCCCAAGGGCACACCCCCTCCTCCCCAGGCCTCACCTCCCCCCACAGACTTGGGAGAGGGCGGGTGGGCCCCGTGGCAGGGGAGGGCCGGAAGCCGTGGGGAGGCCCCAGGGGTCTGACCCAGAGGAGGCCGAGGGCAGGGCGGGAGGCCGCTATGCCCGGGGGACAGGGCTGGTGGGGTATAGAAAGGCTGGAGGCGAGGCGAGTGAGTCCCAGAACGTTCCAGAAGTAAGTTCCAGGACCGAGAGGCAAATGCACAGTGTATTTATGCACAGGTCTGGCTTCTGTGGACATGTGTAAGGAGCCACAGGCCGCTGGGCTCCGAGCAGGGAAGCTTCTGCACGCCTGCCCTCAGACGCGTCCCTGCACCGACCCCCACCTGCATGGTCGCACAGATGTCGCAGCGAGACAGGTGTTGTTCCGCTGTCTTCCCTCGCCAAGCAGGGGGTGCAGGGGCCAGGGGGACTGAGCCTGCCCCAGAGGGAGTGGGGTCCCCGGACCTCTTCACCCCGGCGAGTGCCCTTTGTGGTGTAGGTACAGGAGAAGCAGGGCCTGACTCTTCCCTGCTGCAGGGATGTGGAGGGGGCTCAGAGCGGGTCCCCAGTGCCCAGCGCAGGAGGGGGCACTGCTTGTCCAGGGCCGCCTGGGGGGGGCTGACTGCGGGGGGTGGCCCCGCAAGCACGGGGCGGAGGCACTTACAGTCGACCGTGAACACGGCTGGGTCCTCAGTCTTCTGGGCCACGATGTTCCCCTCAACGCATGCACTGTTTTCCCTGAAAAGCCAAAGAGTGCTGGGGTCCTCCATGAACCCCAGTGTAGGGACAGGAGCCGGCTCTAGGAAGTGTCACACGCCCTGTGGACACCCAGCCCCGTCTGGCCCTGGGCCAGCTGAGAGCAATGTCATGAGGGGTTGCCCCAAATGTGAGTGGCCCTGTGGCCCTGAACAGGTGATTCAGGCGAGTTGACAATGGGGCAGACAAAGCCAGCCGGGACACCTGCCTGGTGACGGAGGGCGTGTGCCAGCTCAAAACTGACCCTCTCTGGGAGGGGCTGGGTTACAGCACTTCCAAGAACCTCATCATGGGTCACACTCAAAGTTCCTTGAGCCCCCGGCCCCCACTCCAGGGGCAGACAGGGCTCACGGCAGGACCTGCCCAGGCCCCCGGGACCCCAGCCCCACGGCTGACCGGCCGGCCTCCACACGGGCCTCTCTGCGCACTGACCTCGGGCCGCTGTGTGTGGTCGGCCTGTTGGCCCAGAGCCCGGGGCGGGGACTCCGAGGGCACCGGGAACCACCCACAGGGCGCCGGCTCCCATCAGGACCCTGCCCTGCCCACCTACCTGCCCACTCACCTGCCTGCCCACCTGCCCGTCCAGGAGCCAGGCCCTCGCTGGCCCCCAACCCCGGGGCAGAGGGCACACCTACCATTTGCGCAGAACGATCTCCAGGTTGCCCTCGGGGGTGGGTCTCAGCTCCTGGATGTACACTCTCGGGGGGGCGGTCTCGGTGTCCAGGAGGGAGATGTCACTGGCCGCCATGGCCAAGGAGTGCCACGTCCCAGCCACCTGCGGAGGGGGCCTTGAGCTGCCATCGGGGGCGGGAAGGGCCCCGGCCCAAGGGGGGCTCGCCCTCCCCCCGCCGGCCTGCTGGCTGGTCTCCTGCGCACGTTTCTCAGGCAGAACGGTGAGTGAGTCAGGACTTGGCGCGTCTGAGGATCACCTACCACGTGCTGATGCCCGTGTGCAGTTCTTGCATGTTTGCGACAACCATGCTCTCCACCCCAGTGCTGTCCTGAGGAAGCTCCCACTCAGGGGTGCGTCCCCGTCATAGGTGACCACCCCGGGAGCGAGAGGGAGACACGGAGGTGGCTAGAGCCAGCACTCGGGGGGAAAAAGACGTGCCCTAGCTCTGTGCCTCATTGATGTCTGCCTGTCCTCCGTCAGCCGCCCCTGGCCCTGGCATCCCAGCACCCACCCCACATGCCCGTACCTTTCTTAAATCCAGGGCCCTCGTGGTCTGGGGGACGATGATGGCCTGGATGCCACACACGAGGGCCAGGCCCAGGGTGAACAGGAGGCACTTCATGGCTGCGGCCGTGGTTGTGCTGAGCTCCCGGGAGTGAGGAAGGCTGGGCAGCAGGCTCGGGCTCTTATATGGGGGCGGGGGGGCCCGCAAGCCAGCACCGTCCTGGCCCCCTGCCACGCGGTTCCCCGAATCCCCCGTGGCTCATCCCCAGGGTCACAAGGACATTCTCTTCCAGGACAGCGTGAGGCCCTCTTTCTGGGACAGTGTCACTGACTTCCCCCTGAGTCCAAACAGGAAGGTCCCTGTGTCCCCCAGGCCTGGACAGTTCCTGGCAGGCCCCAACGGGAGGGTCTGAGATGTAGGTCCAGGCTGGCCGCCAGCATCAGAAACACTTCCCGGGTTGCGATCTTGGGCAACAACAGGTCAGAGTCAGCACTGAGGACAGCTGTGTCCCTGAGGGTGGGAGAGCCCCATGCCAGCCCAAGGTCTATGGACGACATGCCGGTGGGTGGCCATCTGTCCTGCACAAGGGGCACACTTTTTCACACCCCCGGTCCCTCCCTGTGCGCACCCAGTTCACACAGCTGTCCTGAGCATGCACGCCTTGGGGCTGGAGGTGGCTATTTGGTCTGTTGTGCTCCATGGGGACCCCCTCCTTGCCCCTGCATGGCCATCTGGGCCCACAGGTCATCATCTGGGGGCAAAGGCTGGGCTCTCAGATGTTTGGGCAGACGAGCAGCATGCAGAGTGTCCAGAGGACTCTGGCGGGAACCCCCACAGCCCTTGCCCTCCTTCCCAAGGCCACCATCAGTGGGTTCTAGGCACCCCAAAGCACGGGCAGCCTGCTTCCTTCACCCCCTTGCAGGTCTGGGGGTGGGGGTGGGGGCTGCAGCAGCGGCAGGAATGCAGGTGGGCAGACAGCAGGCCCCCGGGCCTAGGTGGGTGAGCGCGTGGCTGGCAAGCTGACCAGCTCCAGAGAGGGAGGCAGACGTGGGGGCGTAGTGGGTGGGGAGGGGTACCAGGGGACCTGGGACTCAGCAGCGGGCCTGTCAATCAGGAGCCCAAACTGGAAAGAACACAGCCTTTATTTTGGGGTCTCAGACGGCAGCTCAGGGAGCTGACAGAGTGACAAGAAGAGTCTGGCTCATGCAGGGAGAGCAAGGGGTTTTGATGAGAGAGAGGGAAGGAGTAATTACATGAATAGAGGAAGAAAAGAAGAGAAAAACCTGGCTAGTTTGGGGCTGACCAGCAGGGCCGCTTCTGATTAGTATCTTCCTGATTATTTTTTCAGTGCTCACAACCTGCATTGATCAACTTACTGTCCTCACATGACCCGCCTGCAGGTCTCTCTAGTGACATTTTATGAGCACCGGGTTATAAAGCCGGTTCCGCTGCTGGCCCAGCTCGGGAGCTCATTAGCCAGAGGAGACAATGACGGCCCTCACATCCGAAGTGTTAGACAATCCCACAGGCCCAGGTGCTGGGGATGCTGGGGCCCCCGACAAGGGGATGGAGGGCTTGGAGGAGCTGAGGTGTGATGGTCCCTGCGGAGGATAGTGACCTGGGCCTGGGTGGATGTAGGCATATGCAGACCTTATGTCTTGATCTGAGAATTCCATGAATTTCTTTTTTTTTTTTTTAAGATTTTATTTGTTAATTTGTCAGAGAGAGAGGGAGAGAGAGAGCGCACAAGCAGGGGGAGCGACAGGGAGAGGGAGAAGCAGGCTCCCCGCCGAGCAGGGAGCCCGATGCGGGGCTCGATCCCAGGACCCTGGGATCATGACCTGAGCTGAAGGCAGACGCTTCACTGACTGAGTCACCCAGGTGCCCCGAATTCCATGAATTTCTAGAAGTCACAAAATCTTGACAAGAATGGGATTTTATATTACCCCTGATGCACTGCCCTTGCAAAATGAAAACCCAGGAAAGGAGTGATTCCTCACACACTCTTTCAACACATGAGCCTGACAGAGGGAACGGCGTCTCTGAGGGACCCAGGCTGAGACAGAATCCCCACCCTTGGCAAGTGGTCGGGTGCACTCTGACCGGCCTCACAGAGCGGGCAGGACGATGCCTGCTCTGCCTGCAAGGGGAGCTTGTCTGGCACTGCCGGGCCCCCTCTGCAGCAGACCCCACATTGCCAGGGCCCCCTCTGTGGCAGACCTCACACCCTGGGGCCCCCCTCTGCAGCAGACCCCACACAGGTGCAGGGGAGGGGCTCTGGCTAGTGTCCACCTGGGGCTCTGAGCTGGTGTGATGGGTGCGAGGCAGCTGATGCGGTCCAGCTGTGGAAGCTGGCCCCTGGGCGGCTGAAACTTGTACCCATGGCCGTCCCCAGGCTCTCACCTCTGCGGGGTGGGCAGGACGAGCAGGGCTCCTCAAGCCCAGCATAGACAATAGGCTCAGCTTGCAGTCGGGAGGCCAGCTCCCTGCTGCTCGCCACTTGCCCGGCTTCCCATTTGTCCCTGGCTCTGGGCCGGCCCGGAGTGGGGCCTGTTTCCCTCCTGCCCGCCTTTCATGATGGCCACAGGACCTCACTGGGCGGTGGTGCCGGGCCATCGTCAACAAAGCGCCCTCTGCATCCATCTTGGAGTCTGTTCCAACAGCTTCCCCTTAAGGGAGACCGTTGTCACAATGGGGGGTGAAACGCACACTTAGAACAACAAAGGAGACCCGCCCCCTCATGTCCACCCACACTCACCCTTGCTGGCTCATTTCTTCCCTGCACTGCTTGGCCCAGGGTTTGGGTGACGATGACACCCCACCCACCCACCCTCACCACCATGCAGTGTGGTTTCCGCCCAGCCTCACACCCTGCAGACACAAAGATGGTTTCCAGTGGTGGGCTCTCCACCAGTGCAGCCTGTTGACCAGTCCTGGCTCCTTTGGGAACACCTGTCCTGACTTTGGGGTTCCTCACCACTTGGGCTGCTTTCCTCCTCCAGCCCCCCATCTCTCCCCACGCCCAGAGTGCTTGTCCTTCATGCTCCACTGCTGGGGTCTCATCCGCTCCCAAGGGCCTGGGCTGCCCTCTCTAGACCTCTAGCTTTCATTTCGGTTGTGAGTCTCCTGAATTCCAGGTCAGCTCCCTAGTGGGCCCCTGCCCCCAGACACCCCCAGCTCCTACCCAGAACACCTCCGAACTGGCTCTTTTCCCAGAGACCCGGCTCTTCCCGCATCTCCGTGAGGGGCCCTGGGAGTCACCCTTGAATTTTCCATCCTCCCCCACTTGACATTTGCGTTTCACCCGTAAATTGTCCATGTCCTCTGTTCTGTTCTCACTGCCAGTTCTGTCTTCAACTTCGTAAGTGTTTCTTTAGTAAGCGCACCATTGGGCATGCCCCTCACATGGCCTCCCCACCCTCAGCCTCACCTAGTTCCAGGCCCTGGAGAAGGAAAAGTCCTATGTGCCAGTGGGATCGTGCCGTTGGGATACTGAAACACAAACAAAGAAACGCGGATAGCCTCCTTGCTGGGAAGTGTTCTAACCAGAACGTGCGTCAATATCACAAAAAGGTGTGTACCTGACTTCCCTCAAGACCCAAAGGCAGAGCCTCTGGGTTTGGGGATTGAGAAGGTCTGTTTACTGGCTGCTTCTCCCCACCTCTGATTCTGATTCAAGCCGGGTTGAGGCTTCCCCAGCAGGGCTCACAGTCTGTGGGGTTGTCCAGGGATCTCCTGCTCTCTCAAGATTTATAGTTGCTGATTCACTAGTCCCCTGTCTAGGGCCTAAGCTCCTGCATTCCTTGCCTTACTTTGAATTTTGCCCCAAGTCCATACCTGCAGTTCAGGAACCCACCCTGATACCCCGACCCCCATGCCTCTGAGCACAACAGAGTGGCAACCTTCCCACCAAATGCCTTTCTGCAGCATGCCAGTGGGCAAACCCATCCTTCCTGTTCAAGACAAGGTTTAGGGACCCTTTTCTGAGAGGGGCTTTCCTGAAGGGTCCAAGTGTTTGGGGCCCATACTGTCAGGGCCTGGTTTCCCTGTGGCACCCTCGACACCTTGCACATATCCACATAGGCGGGTGAAGATTTACACCATACTGAATATGAGCTTTGACAGATGCCTTGTGATCCTTCTGAAACATAGACGACGGGAGGCCTGGGAGAAGCTGCTATGAGAACATTTCCCACTTACCACAACATCTTCCTAGGAGGCTGCGACAAGAGAGTGCCATCTCCTCCCAGGTTCTGGTGCAGTATGAGGCTGCCTCTCAGAGCAAAGCTACTTAGCTTTGTCTGGAAGGGTCTTCTCAATAATGGGACTTCCCACCACTATTGTTGCATTGCCATATCCAGATCCTTCTGGATCCGGTGTCATCCTGTAAAACAAGAGACAGGGGTGTTGGCACGCTTGCTTATCTTGCTTTTGCTATCAATGTACGTAATACAATTTCTGAATCTAGGAAGGGCTCATTGTTTCTTTACCAGCTGAATCTGTCAGCCTTGCTTGACACATATATCTGTCATATCACCAATAACACCATTTGATCCATATTTGTGTAGCAGAAACAATTGTTTTGCATTTTGAAAGTTATCTGTATTCTGTGTAGTAAATCTCTGTAGCATTCGTCCCAGAGTTAACTGTTCAAGGGACTCTACTGAGGCAGTGTTGAGATAGCAAAGATTGTAAAAACAGGGCACACAAAGGAAAAGGAATGAGGGATAGTGGATGGATGGATGATAGATGGATGGTGGATGGATGGATGGTAGATGGATGGTGGATGGATGGATGGTGGATGGATGGTGGATGGATGGATGGTGGATGGTAGGTGGTTGGATGGATGGTTGGCTAGATGGATGGATGGATGGTGGATGGATGGTTGGATGGATGGATGGTGGATGGATGGTTGGATGGATGGTAGGTGGTTGGATGGATGGTTGGCTAGATGGATGGATGGATGGTGGATGGATGGTTGGATGGATGGATGGTAGATGGATGGTGGATGGATGGATGGTTGGCTAGATGGATGGATGGATGGTGGATGGATGGTGGATGGATGGATGGTGGATGGTAGGTGGTTGGATGGATGGTTGGCTAGATGGATGGATGGA